TTTCCGTGAACTCCTCCAAGCTCTTCCCAAGCGCAGCAGAAAGGGGTCTGCAGCTCCAGCGTGTGCTGGGTGAAGGGCTGCCGCCCGGTTTTAACCCAGCAGCTGCTGGGCAGAGAGAAAATCAGCGTTCGTATTCCCTTGGCATCCTTCCTCTGCCACTTTTCCTAGTATCCCTGACACTCATCTCTCTTCCAGAGTGGACACACGATTGACGCTGCTGTGCCTTCGCAGAAGCTGTTCCAGACCGCGGAGGGATGCTGTTCCCTGCGCTGAGCCTTTCCCCTTTCCCCGCAGTCCTTTCCGAGCTAGAGGGTGAGAACCGCACGCCCAGGCTGCGGCACACACCCGTTGATGCCGTGGTGCTGGTCCCTGCTCCCCCATCCTTCCCTTGACTCTGGCTTGCTGCTGCCACTGCTCCTGTTCTCCAAGCAGACGTTTCTGCAGGACTGTTTCACAACCCAAAGGTCTCATTGCCGAGTGAAAACAGTCGGCCAAGGGCTCGTCTTTTGATATTTTCTTGCAAGCAGCGCTACCTGCATTGACACTGAATTTCATCTGTCAACATGTCTCACAAGATCCTTCTGCAATTCTTCACTCACTCTTTATTATATGATTACGGAATAACCTCATCAATGCAGGTTGCCACTGTCCTCATTAATTACTTTTTCCTAATTATTTTTTAATATATGTGGCATCCAACTGTTGACTTCCCCCCACCAAAAAACCCCTCCCCTTAACTCTTCTTTCCTGTCTTTCAAACAGTTGTTTGTCCACATGATGTCATTCCCCCTTTTCCCATAGCAGCTTTTTTTTTTTCTTTAAGTGCCTTGGGCAAAGCAGTGATCAAGTGCATTTTGGAAGTTCAAGCAGACCATACCACCCAAATCCCCTTTATTCCCTGCTTGTTGACACCATTAAAACAATTCCAATAGAGTTTTGAAGCGTGACTCTTCCCCAATGTGTAGCCATTGATGGTGCATCACAGCATCTATGAACTTGCTAAGTGCAAGTGCTACGTCCACCCGGCTGTGCTTTGCCACATCTGCCCTGAAACTCATTTCAGCAGCTGTTGTCACGTTTGCCACCGGTACCGAGGGAGAGGTGACCATCCCAACTGGCAGCTCGGCTTATTCACCCTCCAGCTCCCTTAGCACTCACAGGTGGCACCATTTGGCCCAGGCAACTTGTTACTGCTCATTTCATCTGAACTTTAATCCCTCCTAAAAGCATGTCAGGTTTAAACAGATTCTCTGCTGAGCTCTCCATATGGAAGTACTCGTGTGAACTCCCCCAGCTCTTTCACAGCGAACACATATGCAAACAATTCACTTGATTTTTAATTCTGCTGGGACTTTATCGTCAGGTCAGACCTTCCCTTTACTGTGCATCATGTCTACTGACTGTGGCAGTCTCCCTGCTCCTGATTTTTGCAAAATTATTTGCACAAGTTTTATGACTTGAATGTTCTTCGTATTCCGTTTTCCTTTGCATTATCTCGGGGTTTGTTTTTTTTCTTTTTGTTTGCTTTTTTCCCATTTCACCTGCCAAATCTTATTATTTCCAACCTCTACATTTGAACATAAGGTCAGTTTACACAGGATATTGTCTTACTCTGAAAGCATTCCACATGCTGCTCTCATCACACTGACCTCCTTTGTCCTCTCTCAATTCTGTTTTGATGGGTGGTAAACATTTGCTCCTGGTGCCAATGTGATGTCTTACACTCTCTCCACACCACCTGCAAGCACTTAAGTCTTTTAGCTGCCTCCTTTGCCTTCACCAGTTTCATTTAAAATTAAATCACCACCACAGAGGAAAACTTGAAAGTATAATCCTATGGGTGTACTAAGGGCTCAAATACCAAAAAGTTAAACACTGAGACCTGCAATGCATTGTATTTCAGATTTTGTGCTCCTCGAGCCTCCCACGATTTTTATCAGTTTGAATGGTGACTTTTGAATGTTTGGGATTGGTAATACCACCCTACTTTCATATGAAGGCACGGGGGTGCAGGGGGGAAGTATCAACATTTCATGGTGTGTTCACATGGTGCATGCCCCCCCTCTGTCACAGCTGGCATCAGGTGCCTGACATGAGCTAGATTTGCCACATCACAACTGTGACAGAAATCTTTCTCCAGACGCTCCCAAAGGGTCTGGAAGCCCATAGGATCCTCCTGGAAGTGGCTTACACCAGACAGATGTTCACCCACTCCTGGTGACTCAAGATCAACCAGTGTGACCCACCAGCAGGAACTCTTTCAGGCCCAGACATCCTCATCAGCTGCAAAAGGCGCCACATGTGTTGACAAAGACATGGCAGCGTGGCTGGTGGCAAAGCCAAGGCAGCAGGACTGCACTGGCCTGAACAGCCAAATTCTGTCTCCCAAAAGCACAGGAATCAGCAGATCCTCAGCAGCTTGACAGGCAGCGCAGCTTAGAGACAGATCACTGTACACCAGCTTGTGGGATTGCACAGTTCCTACATCCCAACCCACCGCACTGTCTCTCTCTTCATACCCCAACAAATGCGACCATGTTTACCCCCAAGAAGTGTTCTGGAGCTCCTCTTCCAAACAGATGTTCCTACCTGGGAAACCTGACTCATTAAGCCTTGCTTTGGTCCACAGGTGAATCAGGGGTGTGTACAAAGAATACTCCATGCTTCAGAGAACCAAGGAATAAAAGATACAGATGCAGTTTTTTTTCCTGCAGGAAGCATCTTAGATGGAGAGCATCTCTGTGAGGTTAGGTCCTTGAAAAGTCAGCTCAGTACTGCTCAGGCTTGCTCCAAGATAAATGGCCATGTACTCTATTCCTGTGCTGCTTAAACACTTGCCCCTGTAAGGATATCCATGTCGGCCTGGTTTCTTTAGGAGGGGAAAGGAGGTCCTTTACAAGAATATCATCCTCTGAAAAGCCACACAGGCTTTATGAAGCAGAGCTGCCATGTTCAGGTGTAACTGGTTCCTTTCTGACACGCCTCACAGAAAGGGAAGACTAAGTTTCAAAGATGATCTGCCAGAATCGTTGATCACAGCTTCCCACAGCGATCAGGAAAAACCGCTCTGCAGGCAGTGACATGCCTACTGCAGTCCTCGGGATCTTTCCAAGAGTCAAAATCCCTGTAGCCACTTCCCTCCTCCGGCACAAGGACAGTTCGGAGCCGAAGGTTACACACTGAAGTCAGAACCTGCATTATTTCACCAAGCCCTTGCACAATGTCCAGGCAACTTGTTACTTTTCGTCTGGTTGATGGTCTAACAGACCCCCAACATAGTGGGCACCTTCCCTCCCCACTGGCTTCACCCTTTCCTCCTGTCCCCTTCCCTCCCCGTTCACTGGGATCAGGATTGCCCCAAGCACCCACCATCCTACTTCTGCAGACTCTTTAGCTCCAGTCTCATCCTTCCTTCCTTCCCTTCATTTGTTGCTCAAGAGGAATCTACCTGCTGCCCATCAGGGCTTCCTCTGAAGTCCATCTTTGTCCTCGTTTCTCCTTGCAGCAATATTACAAACACCAGGACTAACCACGTCCATTTTCCCTGCTCAGTGCTGCAGAAGTGTTCAAATGCTCCAAGACTGCACCTCCGTTTGCTGAACGTGATTACTGCTAATACAATGGAAAACTGGCATGACAAACAGCAGCCTTTTAAAAAGGCAAGAAAAACAGTCAATACTTCCATTCTTCTCAATGGATTACTTCAAGTAATAATAAAAAAATATTCCTTATGTCCCATTTTATATTCATCAAAAACTGTACAGTTAATTTAAAGCAAATAATAGAATGTTTCCTTGAAAAAAACAAAACTATCACCCATTACAGAAAAATTTCACTAGGTCCTGCTTGACTTCACACTTAAGGGCATTTTAGGCTGCCTGAACAGAAAAGTTACGGTATAACCATGATTTAAGAATTGCAACTTGACAGTGTGCCTACCAGGTGAACTTCCAGCAGGAGGCTTCACAAGTTCTTTGTTACTTCCCAAGATGCTTAAAGCCAAAGTACAAAAACTCACACAAATACTAATAACTAAGAACTTCCTGTGCAGATATTAGAAACAAAATGTAACATTGGAAGTCCACAGCAGTTCCATTTTTCTAACAAACTGAATACAAGCGAGACCAACATTGCAACATGAAGTGGCAAAAGTGAATCCTGTTTGAAAAAAATCAAATTCTTAATGGTTTTTACAAAAAAAACTATTTAAATATCTATTTCACTAAGCGCTCTGAGAAAGGTTCTGCGTTAAGCATTCAGCAGCTCACATTCTTCTACTGTGAAGTAAGACTAATACCTGGCACTAAATTATCCGTTTAGCTCTTCAGGAAACTCAGCTGATATTCCTGATATTTCCAAGGCAAAAATGAGAAAGAAAAAAACTTTCAGATTATACATGGCAAAATGTCTGAAAAGAAAACCAGGCATGTACTCTGCAAGTCAAATCCTTCTCCCATATTATTTTTACTCATTACTACATAAAAAAAATCAAAAAGTCATTCTTGGATTGATGCCATCTCTTTAAAAAATGAATAAATAACTCAAATTACCAAATATTAGATCATTTAAACGTATCTGCACATCGGTTGAGTATTTGCTGTGCTTACAGGGAAGCCACAGGGCAACCACATCCACACACGGCTGGCTACCTGAGCTTCCTGACAACTACTTATATGCAAAGGTTTCCTAACAAGAAAGGGAATTCAGCTTCCCAAAACCACCAGTTGCCTCCAGCACGCCTCCAGCAGCCCTCCTCTGAAGGCAGCCACACGCTGCAGCTCGCCTGTGTGCACAGATCCCAGATGGTCCCCTCCGCTCCGCTCCAGTTTCTGGTGCGCTGGTTCCTACTGGGTAGGTATTTCCAACGTCCAAGTGTGACTGTGCTCTGAAAGCAGCTGGAAGGGAACAGGAGAAAACTACAGAGTAGACAAGGATTCATTCCAACCTTTACTTTGTTTGCCCCCTTTTTTTCTTTTCTTTTTTTTTTTTTTTTTTTTTCCTTTTAAATATAACTTCCATGCAGAGTTCTCCAGAGTAACTGCTGATGTCAGATCTGCCTTCTGGCCTTGGCACAGCCACGGATACTTCTACCACATGGGAGGAAAAGCTTCTGCTACATGACTTTTTTTTTTTTTTTTTTTTTAAACTTTTAGGCCAACAACATGTTCTCATCTGAACATTACAGTTAATGAGTCCTATCAAGAATTTCTAACAAAAACTGTACATGAGTTTACAAACGTATTAACATATAAATAATGAGAAGCTTCCTGCCTGGAGCCTCCACAGTAGTCTTTTTGCTTGAGAATATAATACTGGAAGGGTAGACCCAATCCCTTTCCACAGCACCAGTCAGAGCTGGCTTAGTCCAGTCAGCCGTTCTGCTCAAGCATCACAGGGTTTTTTTTCTTCTTCAGTGCCTCTGGCTTCAATAAGCAGCCTGTCATTACTGTGCAAAAGCAAGAGTCCAATGCCTTTGAGAAGGAATCCTGCTGCTGAGAGGCCTGTGCCACCCGGTCATCGTTCTGGTCCGAGCTCTTGCTGGAAGGTCCGTTTCTTCTCCCGACAGTGTTTCTTGTGAGCAGGCCAGTCTTTCTGCTGGCATTGTGACCCACAGTACCTCGCTACCTGGCATCGGCCACAAATGTTGAATTCACGTAACTAGGAAGAACACAAGACAGCATTAGTGATCTGCTCAGGGCCAAGGAGCACCCCTACACCACTTCCCAAGTAGGTTTATGATCAAGTCTTTTGCACCCATCCCAAATACGAACATCCCACCAGGAGTGTCAGAGTAGCAATAGGTTTGGAAGCAATTCCATTTGTTTGATTCTGCAGCTGCTCTTGCAGAATTCCCATTATGGTTTAATAGACAAAATATTTGAGAGCTTCACCTTTGTTCTCACACTGCTAGTGTTTTGCCAACTTAAGTTCTGGTTTCAACTACAAACATCTGGAATTCATTAATTACTAGGAAGGCTACACAAGCTCACTGCCTGACTTACAGGTACCCAGGAAGCTTTCATACACAGACCCAACTGAAAGGTAAAGCTCACTCTTTTTCAAATAGAGGGCATTTGAGACCATTTTTGCAAACGTTTCCTTCCCCAAAGAAAAAAGTGGAGCACAATGATTTTAGCCTACTCAGCATTTGTTACCACAAGAAAAGCCCTTTTCACTCATAGATAAGGACATCTGTCTGACAAAGAGGCACAGCCCTTCGACATCTCACTGACTAAGCACGTTGCCTCGTTTCATCTACCTACAGCAAAGAACAAGAACTAGCTTTCCTCCCAGCTCTCCCCTGAATAAAGGCCACTCAAATTCACTCTCTTCTCATGAAAGGTCAAACAAGTTATTTTTTGATTCCACTACTGCCCAAAACCTCTTACAATGCTTTCTCCTCCTGCCTTACACGGCTGCTGGCTCCTTCCAGCTCTGGGTCCCTAGAGGAACGCTTCCACCTGTCTTTTCGTACCCACTGCAGAACTCACACTCCTCCCATTAACCACGAGGTCGTTTACTGTTCCAGTTCAAAACTACATCCCCTCAAACGGAAAATTATCACAGAGTCTGAAGATTCATGCCAAAGAAAGCCTGAGTTAAAAAAGGATTATTGCTTTCAGCAACTGAGTGGCACGCGTAGAGCTTTGTATTTTAAGGAACAAATCCCTGGACACACACGGTAGCCTGAGTCATTCCGTGCTTATTTTCAGCTCTTTTGAACACAGGTACCTGTTTTTCAATCATAGTGCACGGGGGGTAGTGACATTCATAATATGTGCATGAGTTCTCTTCCTCCTCCACAACATCCCCGTTAGCGTTGTAATATCGTGTTACATTCAGTACAGGAAACTGCTCCTCTATAGGATCCGTAGGAAGCTGTTGGATTGCCAGCCAATACAGACTTTGTTCCCTGTAAAAACAAGTACAAATTCGGTCCATAAATTCATAATAAGCATACAGGGAAATTGATTTCAAGTTAATAAAGTAAGTAGGCTTAACGTTGTATTTAGGCTGTTAAGCCTCAGACTGCACATACTCCTCATATATTGGATATTTCAGGGTTTTTTAAAGCCTAAATGCAAAAAAAGTTTTAAAAAGTATCAAGAAATATTTACATCAAGCAAAATTATTTACGTGTAAATGGCATGAAGTCCATTTCTTGTTCTTGAACTCCCAGAATCATTGGGAGCATCACTGTAGCATCATTGCCATTTACATCTTCTCAAAATCAGTTTAATAAGCTGTGAACAACCCTATCTTATGGGTGCTGCAAGTGTTTCAAGAGAAGTGTCTAGTGTAATGTTAAGTCTATGGGTCTCCCACCAAAAATGAACGTGCCTGCGCTACATCATAGATGAACCAAATCCATCCTGACACAAGAGTGTGATGTGCTTTGAGTAACGTTGGTGCAACACAGCACGTAGGAAGGTCCCACAACCTACTAAGTGAAAGGCAAGAGAAGCTGACCCCAGGAACTCATTAACACACCATTACAAGGGTAAGCATCTTGCAGCTGCTGGCTTCCACAGCCTGTGTTAGAATTTTGGTGCCCGAGGACGAGAGCCACAAGCCAGTAAAATCTGCAGACTGAACTCAGCGTGCCCAGATGCCATCACTCAAGTGGAAGGGAACACAGGTTTATTGTTTTCCTGAGGTGACAACATCTAGCACAGCAGGACCTCTCCATAATAACCCCACGGGGTCAGACGGTCCCTTCACAGCTAGCATGAACAGTGAGCACTAACTCCAGTTCCCCAGGTGAGGAAGCTGAGACAGAGCAATGTGCAAGTAGCCCAAGGTCAAATAAAAAAGGCTCTGCCTAGATGAAATCACTGAAGGAAGGAGACACAACAATTTAAGATATTTTCAGGTTTTTTGATGGCAACCCCCTGCCAAATATTGACATACCTTTGTTTGCTAGAGATTTCTTCTGCTTTGGGTTTCCATCCCCAAGGAACTAGGCGCAGATTGTCTAGGCGGTTGTCCACTGTCACTGAATTCAGATGTACCACCTGAAATCCTGGAGCAATCCCTCCCCTGTGTCTCTCCCTGGAGGAGACAAAACCAACCTGAAGATCAGTGATGAACAAGACTCCATAGCTAAAAGGAAAGAATCCCACTAGTTCCCAAAGATGCATTCCTTTCCAGCCTGCCGGCTGGTGTCACTGAAACAGTTGCAGTAAAAGCTGGGTTGCCAACAGACTAGAGTGGGTATTTCAGATACATCAACTCCCAGAAGGCAGACACTTGTTCCAGGAGGTTATTTCCATTACAGACGAGTTGAATCAAAAGACAATCATGATATATTTTAATTGTGAGCATATTGCAAAGGAAGTCCCACAGACTACCACTCCAGTTACTGCAAGAGCATCTATGTAATTGCTGTGTTCCACAGAGCAGACTTGAAAGGAGCCAATACTGGTTTATTATTTTAATGGGAAGTTCTACCAGACACATTTAGGCAAGTTCGGCACTGGTGTGAAGTCAGAGTTTGTTATTTATGAAGAAATGTCTCTTAAGGAGCAACAGCACAGAGATTTCACCACCAAGTATGCAAATGCTTTTTAGATTCTAACTGTGCATAACACATGGAAAGTCTGCAATGGCTCCACAATTGACCAGGAGACATCTACTGAAACTGGCTCAAAACCAAAGCAGGACTATTGGCCAAAGGAGGATGGCTACACATTAAGTCCCATTGCGATTCTTCCCTATTGCCTTCTAGCAGTTTTCATTTTCCAGTCCACCTTCTCTTTATCTCTCTTTTCCCTGTTTCATGGAGTATCAAGCTCAGTGTCAAGCACCCTTATGCCTGGATGAGTTTCTGTATCACTTCTTGCAGGAATCCCCATCCCACCTGAAATGTAAGGCTTGGACAGAAATTGTTTGCTATGCCATGATTAATTTCACAGCACAGAGAGAACACACTGGCAGCAATCAAGAAGGACGTCAACCTGACAGTGCTGCCTGAGGGTTACTCGCCATTTCCTTCTAGAAGACCCATCCAACAGCTACTTACAACTCTACCCAAGTCTAGTTTGGATGCTGCTTCCTGCTCAGTGTTCACTGAAAGTTTCAGTTCAAATAGCTCATCCGATTTTGAAGAGATACAATTTGCCCAAGTTAAAAAAATTCCCACTTTTTTTCCCCTTTACAAAGCTCCAGCATTATCCAGCAGAACAGGGAAATTCGTTTCAATGTGACTGACAATGAAAACTGTAGTCTTTTGTTTTCTTTGTCAAAATTCATCCTGATATAGTTAAATTATATACTTCGAAGGAAAGAAAGACACTTGCAATTCACATGTGCCCCAAAAATTCCTAGAATTTCATGAGTAAAATTCCCTGGGAGAGGCTACATGCAGGTCCCATACACAGCCCGTGCTCCAGCTCATAGGCAACGCAATTCTTCCTGTAACAGCAGCCCTGGCACAGGAACAGAGCACGGACCCTCCTGCTGGGGAGTCTTCTGAGCCTCTGCAGAACAGGGAGAAGCTCTCCCCTTCAAAGGTAAAAGGAATAAAATCCTCCTTTTGGGGAAAAAAAAAAAACAAACCTAAACCACTACATAAAAGCAAACAGACTATGGAAGGGAGTCTGCTGAAACGCTCTGAAGGAGAAAAAGCTACTTTTGAGTTGCTGAAGGCTACTGGAGGGTCTGGTAAAGGAAATCAGGACTTGTGAGAACTCAGGAGGTACACGGACCCAACCAGATGACGGTGAGCATCAGTCAGATACAGAGACAGGGAAGGAGTTAAGGTTCTTAGACTGAGACTAGGACAAAGTGCCAACAAGAGATGGGATAGATATGAACGAGGAATCTGGGAGGAGGAGACAGAAGTTCAGAACAAGAGCAAACTGTGTGGGGGGGGAATGGGAGAAGGGGAGTCTAAGACCAAGTTAAGAAATATTTTTTAAATGGCTTAGATGATGAGTTTAAGAAAGGGTGGTGTTGGGGAAAGAGAGGATTATGAGAGATTGTTCATGACACCAAGAAGTCACAGCAGAGCGGCACAGACCTACCACTGCTCTGTCAAGGTTTAGATCTGCACCCACTACCCCCTATAAGCAAATATTGACAAAATCCACTACCACAGTGAGCCTAGGCTTTGTAAAAAAACACATTTGTCTATACTGCTGTCAGTTTTCCTTCTACCTCAAGTGACAAAAGCCAAAGTAAAAGTGGAAATTGGGCCTTGCTGATGACTGGTGAAAGTGTTAACACGATACCACTCAATTGAGATGCCAGAATTAGTATTGGCAAATCGGGGATGGTCCCTCTTCTCTATACATAATCAAGCAGCCTTTGATCACACAAGCAGGTACTGCTCCTCTCTCTAGATCTCCACTTCAAAAGCGTGCAGCACGGACCGTCTCCAGGGGTGGATCACAAACGTGCAGCAAAGGACAGGCTCATGGGAGAACCTGCCTTGTCCCTCGCAGAAGGGGACAGAGAAGAAACAGCCTCAGCAATGCAGCCAGCTCTCCTGCAGAGCCGTAGCTCCTCCCTCCCCCTGCACACCTGCGCTCCTACAAGGTGCCAGGCAAAACATTTAAATCAAAACTTTTTAGATAATTAACTGGATACTGCTCTTCTTGCATTTCAGCAGCCAGCTTAAGAGCCAAGGCCTCTAACAGAAGTGTCACGTACAGACAACAGCAATTCGAGTCAACAGCCACAACTGAGTAGGTTATAGGCTAAGAAGGAGGATGGTAAGTGCTTTGCAAAAAAAGGAGAAAAATCAGGTCTTGGACATCTTTTCAAACACAGTGAGTGATACTTATGACTGATCTCCTGATGCTGCTGTTCCCCAGGGAACATCACTACCCTCAGCCAAAATACAGCAAGCTGGGATTCTACACAGGGAACAGGGTGAGAAGACGACAGACTTTTCGGCAGGTCCCCAGCCAGAGACATTCAAATCCTGCTTTGGAGCTACCTCTCCATCCCGAAAACACAGCGAGCACAAGAGAGGCTGCAGGAAGCTCTTGCAAGAAGATTTGCAGCAAATGTAGGTATTTTTCAGCTAGTGGTTCCCATTTAGTTCTGCAGTTCACTCTCTGCAGAGGTCAGCAGGGCGGCTTCAGGGGAAGAGTGGGAGAAGGTCCCTGCCATCACTGCAGCTACAAGCTTCCTATTCTGAAGGCCTCACGATGTGAACACAGACACTTGCTTAACTAAATCTAACAAAAAATAACATTTAAAAATCTGCTTTACTTGCAATAGCATCCCTTAAACCAGAAGCACACAACCAGGTTAGTTTTTTTCAGAGCCAGCTGTTTTTTTGGGGTATATGTGGGAGAGAACAGCTAAATGACACTCCTGTACCTGCAGTAATTCAAGTTCTTTGCTTTTAACTTACCCAAGAAGTAAGGCTGGCACTGGAAAGAGTAATGACTGGTACTGCCCTTCTCTCCTGTCTTCCAAAGGCTCCGAAGCCTTCAGCATTATTCCTTCTCACAAAAGGAAGGGCCTGCCACTAAAATACACTTCTCTCTTGTTTTCAAAGCAGCCCCCAGTGCAGGTTAAGAAAACCAGATCTGTTCAGGAGGGGCTACACAGCACCTGTAGCCAGAAGGCTTTCCGAAGACCTTAGGCGCAGTCACCAAGGTGAACTAAGTGGCATTGCCTTGGCTTGTCATTAAAGATCACAGCAAAACGATCCCTCAAAGGGATCAAACTGCATTTACAGAGACAGCCGAAATATTTTGTTATTTTCTAGTCAAAGAATTCAACTTTGCAACTTCAGAACTGCAGCTCCGCTTGCCTGGCAGTTTACACCTCACCTTCGTGACTCTCAAAAATCCCTATTACACGCACAGTCTCCTGTTTTTT